ATATATAATAATAAAAAAGATACATGCACCCCAATGTTCATTGAAGCACTATTTGTAAAAGCCAAGACATGGAAGCAACCTAAATGTCCATCGACAGATAAATGGATAAAAAAGATGTGGTATAGGGCTTCCCTGGTGGCGCAGTGGATAAGACTACGCCTGCCAATGCAGGGGACGTGGCTTTATTCCCTGGTCCGGGAAAATCCCACATGCTGCGGAGCAATTAAGCCCGTGCACCACAACTACTGAAGCCCGCGTGCCTAGAGCCCGTGCTCTGCAACAAGAGAAGCCACTGCAATGAGAAGCCCACGCACCGCAACAGAGTAGACCCCGCTCACTGCAACTAGAGAAAGCCCACGTGCAGCAACAACGACCCAACACAGCCAATAATGATAATAATAAAAGATGTGGTATATAACTACAATGCAATATTACTCAGCCATAAAAAAGGATGAAATAATGCCATTGCAGCGACATGGATGGACCTAGAGATTATCATACTAAGTGGAGTAAATCAGACCAAGAAAGACAAATATGTGGTATCGCTTATATGTGGAATCTAAAAAAAGAAAATGATACAAATGAACTTATGTACAAAACAGAAATGGACTCAGAGACACAGAAAACAAATTTATGGTTACCAAAGCGGAAAGGAGTGGGGGAAGGGATAAATTAGGAGCTTGGGATTAGCATATACACACTACTCTATATAAAATAGATAACCAACAAGGACCTGCTGTATAGCACAGGGAACTGTACTCAATAAAAATAAATAAATTTAAAATTTTTTTAAATAAATAAATAAGCGAATTCCCTGGTGGTCCAGTGGTTAGGACTCGGCGCTTTCACTGCCATGGCCCGGGGTCAATCCCTGGTTGGGGAACTAAGATCTCTCAAGCCTCCTGCAGCCAAAAACAAAAAAAAACAAAAAGCCAAAGGAGATGAATGCATTTCTATTAGCTGAGCACTCTAACTCCTAGCCCAGGGCTTGCTCTGCCTCTTGCTAAAGCAATCATAGATTGCTTCTACTCCAGCCACTGCAGAATGGGAAACAGCACAAACAGCGGTAATCACAGACAGCAGTGTTCACAGACAGCAGTGTTGGCAGCTACTGCTTATGGCCTGGAGGTGTGGGCACATGCCCTCTACAGGATGACTGGTGAGGACACCTCCCTCAAGTGTTGGGTGCTCAGAGGGGCACTCCCTGACAGTGAAGCAGGTCTTAAGGAAACAGAAGAAGGTAGCTTCTTTCTGACCTAATAACAGTCTGGCTTTGTCTCAGAGGTGTAGGAAGTGTCTCCCCAACATACAGCTATGATGGAACTTAAGACGTAAAGAGGAAGCTTCCTGGGATTATATAGCTGCTGTTTTCATCCAAGGGAATGGGTGGGGAGTTCTACCTGGATGAACTCTTAAGACTGCCACCTTGTGATTCAGCCGTACCTCTGAATTATTTTATCATTCTTCCTCATGACCGAATCCATGCAGTCGGCATCACTTTGGTGTGGTGCAGAATTGAACGTTAGCTGTGCACTCAGAGGAATCTAATTTTCTCAGCTCTTCACAGAGCTGAGAGGGTATGGCTAGGAACAGGGATACTTCTTTCATCTTAATAAGGTAGAAGGTCAAGCATGTAGATGCAAGTAAGCTGGTAGATTTGGTATTGGAAAGATAGGGCAGTCTCATCTAATTGCATCTATTTTATCAATGAAATATGGGCAAGGTCATCTGCTGAGAGGGAAGTGGAGGGGGTGCTGGAGATTTTAGAAGAGAGAAAGTGTGAAATAGTTATTGAGTAGAGTAGAAAAAAGAGTTTACTAGGGAACTATAGAATTAGTTGGCAATGTTGGGTTTGGGGGGCATAAATTTGAAGTATACTAGTCAGCAAGATTCTGAGATTTCCTCCATCAATATTTAGCTGCCCAGGTATAGATGTGGAGAAGCTGAATTGTTAGACTTAACCAGAAATGTTTTGTTTGGTTTTGTTTTGCTTTCCAGGAAAGTTCAGTGGAGACGGAGAGGGGCAAGGAAATTTACAGTGTCTACAAGTTTGTAGTTCTGGCTATGAAGGGGAGTGGATGGATTATTTTTAAAATAAAATTAAAAGTAGTACAAATGGTTTAGAGGTCCTTGAGGCAGGAAGGTATTAGGATGGGAGGAGGGGTGTTAGGGTATGAGAAGGAAAGGCAGATGGTAAACAGAGAATGGGTTTTTCTGGCCATGCCTCACAGCTTGCAGGATCTTAGTTCAAACCCAGGCCCTGGCAGTGAAAGTGCCGAGTCCTAAACACTGGACCACAAGAGAATACGTACTTTCAGTTTCAGAGGATTTTATCTGGATTGAATTGCTCCAGCTCACTCTTCTTTTCCAACCCTTGGTTTTCCCTTCTTCCTTCTTTCCATCTCTCCTCCCACCAGAGAGAGAGAGGCAATGAAGTCTGCTTTTCATTTCCGGTCTGGACGACTGAGAGGCTGGCTCTCCACCAATCCTCAGATGGATTTCTCTTTTTCTCTCTCTCCATTCTGGAAAAGGGAAGCTGATATTTGGGGGATGATGTGGCCCAGGAGCCCTTGACCTTCCTCCCCATGGGTATCTCATTCTCTGGCAAATGATCTCTTTGGGGAAAACAAGGCCAGAGTTAGCAGCAACCAGGCTAGGAACGTGGTTTCAGCTGCAACCAGAAAGAGCACAGACAAGAACCAGGGAGAGTGGGAGGCCCTGGTGTGGAGACAGCCTTCAGGGGAAGAACTTTCAACACCAGAGAATCTGGGAAGTGGCCCAGAGACACTGAGCAAATTAGACAACCCTCATCCTGGCTCTCCATCACCATACATGAGACTTGGGGAATCAAAGGGACCCGGGCTCACACAGTGAAGACAATCCCAGGATGCTCCCTTCTTGTTGGTTTGGCCCAGACGGTCACTCCAAGAGACTGGAAGCACCTCAGGAAAGCCCTCTGAGTCTTCCCAGGGAGGGCCAGACCAACCTGCCCCAGGGTCCTTGGAAGGAAAGGACTATCTGAGAACTTTGATAGGCAACTAGATTCCTGGCAGGGAGTGGGCCCTGAGCCTCGTCACCATGACCTACGCTACTGTCCCAGGAAAGTGTGGGAAACTTCCCCTCCACCCAAACCTCCTTTTATACCCCTGGACTTCCAGACTCTGTAACTGATCAAACCTTTATAGACTTTCCCCCCACAGCTATGTATTTACACATATTGTTTCTTCTTCCCAGAATTCTGTCCCCCATTTTTCTCCCTAGAAAATTCAGATTCTTCTATTTTCAAGACTAGTTGAAAGGTTACGTCCTCCCTGAGGCCTTCATTGAGAAAGTTAGTCACTCCTTTTTCTGTTTCCCCGAATGTAACTTATCCATTCTCATATCACATCACATGTTTATACATGCGTCTGCTCAAAGGCAAGGCTCACTCTTTTTTTTTTAATATTATTTATTTGAACCAATTTGGCACTTTATTAATTTTAGTTGGTGTGGCATTTATTTTACTTATTTATTTTCCCTATTATTATTATTATTTGGCTGCGTAGGGTGTTAGTTGCGGCATACGGGATCTTTGTTGAGGCATGCAGGGTGTTTTCCTTACAGCAAGCGGTCCACTCGGGTTTCTCCCTAGGTGTGGAGCGGGCTCCAGAGTGCACGGGCTCTGTATTTTGAACAGCGTGGGCCCTCTCGTTGAGGCCCGCAAGCTCTGTAGTTGTGGCACGCGGGCTTAGCTGCTCCCGCCCCGGCATGTGGGATCTTAGTTCCCCAACCAGGGATCGAACCCGTGTCCCTTGCATTGGAAGGCGGATTCTTAACCAGTGGACCAGCACGGAGTCCCAAAGCTCACTCTTTTTTTTTTTTGCGGTAGGCAGGCCTCTCACTGCTGTGGCCTCTCCCGCTGCGGAGCACAGGCTCCGGACGCGCAGGCTGAGCGGCCACGGCTCACGAGCCCAGCCGCTCCGCGGCATGTGGGATCTTCCCGGACCGGGGCACGAACCCGTGTCCCCTGCATCGGCAGGCGGACTCTCAACCACTGTGCCACCAGGGAAGCCCCCAAAGCTCACTCTTTAATCATCTTGGTATCCTCCAAATTTAGCAATCTGTTAAATACTCTATAAATATTTGTTGAGTGAGTGATAGTATATTGTACTCAGAACTACACACCTTGAGGTATATATAAAAAAGACAAAACATAAAATGCAACCCCTCACAAGAAATTTACCTATTAGTTAACAATAAGTTAATTTAATATATTTATTTGATAATAATAGATGTACCATATATGTGTCATTTAATAGTGCTTACTATATCCCAGACACTGAATCACTAAATTAAACATACATACCCACTTGTTAACTTCTCACAATAACATGTAAGGTAAGAATTGTTACTATCCCTAAATTACAGATGGGTAAAATTAGGCTCAGAGAGATTAAAGAATTTGCTTGAGATCTCAAAGTGACTGTCAGAGCCAAGATTTGAATGCAGGCATTTCTGATTCTAAAACTTGTGCTCTTCACCATTAAACTATGATGCTCATGATAAGTTTTGTATAATACTGTTTATGTCATCACTATTACAAGATGATGTAACAAAACACAAAATCATATGTTTCAATTGGAAAAGAAACAAATTTTTTTATAAATTTATTTGTATTTTTTATTTTATTTATTTGGCTGCATTGGGTCTTCATTGCTGCGTGCAGGTTTTGTCTAGTTGCGGCGAGTGGGGGCCCCTCTTCGTTGTGGTGTGCAGGCTTCTCATTGAGGTGTCTTCTCTTGTTGTGGAGCATGGGCTCTAGGCACGCGGGCTTCAGTAGTTGTGGCATGTGGGCTCAGTAGTTGTGGCTCATGGGCTCTAGAGCACAGGCTCAGTAGTTGTGGTGCACGGGCTTAATTGCTCTGGGGCATGTGGGATCTTCCCGGACCAGGGCTCAAACCCATGTCCCCTGCGTCGGCAGGCGGATTCTTAACCACTGTGCCACCAGGGAAGTCCCAGAAAAGAAAATATTTAAATGAGGTTATTAATTCTCTGGTACATATAATAATTGCAAAAGGAGTTAGACAAGAGAAATATGTGTAAGTGTTGAGGTAGCCAAAGAAAATGTTGTGGAGACAGAACTTGAACTGAGCTGGGTCTTGGAGAGTAGATCAGAGGAAGGGATCCAACATTAATGTCCTTTGTGTATAAGCACTATGTGTACATTGTCTCATCTGATCCGTAACAAGAAGCTCTGTTCTCCCCAGTTACCAAGGGGAAACCGAGGCTCAAGGAAGCTATATAATTTGCCCAAGTCCACACTGCTAAGTGTGAGCTGAGACTCAAACCCAGATCTCTTTTCCACTCTGTACTGCCCCTGGTTGGTAAAAAGGGCCAAGGAGAGCACTCTGGTGCAAGGGGGCAGGAAGAGCAAAGACAGGAGGCTGGAATGAGCAGGATGCCTGTTTAAAGGAGGAAATAAATAGTCAGGCATCAAGCCTTCCATCCTCTAAGGAGCAGAGGGTGGGACTTCCTAGGCAGCTCCGCCCACTGCAGAGGATTGCAACAGGGTGGGGTGGGGGTGGGGGTTTTGGGGTTCCTGGAAGGTGACTGAAGCCCGTAAGGCTGGCACCATGCCCATGGTGTGGCTACAACTGGCCCCGCCCAATAGTGCTGGGGTGGGAGAGCCATGGTCCCGGAGCTAGTTCCTGGAAGTGTACCACCCCTCCCCCACAAACACTGCTGTATCCTGGTCCTGGTTCTCTCCCAGAACCAGGCTGCCTACCAGCTTCAGTTCTGGCCCAGGTATCTCTCCACCAGAGTCTGGCTTCCAGATAGACTGTTCTCAATTCCCAAGCCCCTGAGGCACTCTGGCCTCCAGGTTTCTAAGCTTCTATCTCCTAATAATAACAGACTCACTCTCTTATTGATCTCTTTTTAGCTTCCCCAAAACTCCCTTTATCTTCTCCCAAACTCCATTATCTCCATTTTCCCCAGTGAGGAAGCAAGGCTCAGAAAGGTTGAGCTGCCCAAAGCCACGTAACCCGTGAATGCAGGGACTCAAGTCCAGGTTTTAAGGTTCAAGATCTGACCCTCCCTCATTCTCCTCTACACCATGCAACCTACTCCTCTCTCTAGATTTAGAATTAAGCTCCAGGGGTTATTTCTTCTGGACTCTTCTGGACTCATTTATCAGCCTTCATCTGTTTTGGATTCCGTGCGGGGCTCTGCTAGCAGGGCATAACTCATAGTCGCCCAGGTCTGGGAACCTCAGTCCTACCCACTCTCTGGACCCTTTTGGCCTGAAAGTGGGGCTCAATGTCCTCAACTCCTGAGTCAATCCTCTAAGAATTCTTATCTGTGGAAAGGAACCTCTTCAAAGACTTTTTTATTCTATCCTCACCCAAACCAGAACACAAGGAAAAACCAGTGGATGGCTTAGGAGATCTGTCTCCACCATCTGGGCCTCAGTTTTTATCTCCCTTTTCTTACTTTAGTAAGAGGGGCCTCACTATTCCCTGGTCCCAGAACCCCTCCAACACCTCCCCCAGCCATCCGGGGTAACCGCCGGGCTCTGCAGCCTAGGATAACGCCCAGCCCTCCCTTGCACCCTGTGGCTGCCTCCCTTTCCGTCTGTTGAGAGAGGAAGCCAGGGGGTGGCGGGTGCAACCCTGCAGGGCACTGATAAAAGGGCAGCCCTGCCCCCGCCCCCTGGGGCCACTGCGGTCAGCCCAGCAGGCAAGCAGGCTAGGCAGCCACCTCCCTCCGGGACCTGTGGCCCTCCCCAGGTTCCACCTCTAGCCACCCCGCCCTACTCGGGAAGCTGGTTGCATAACCCAGCGGGGTGTTTGGCAACACTGCTTGTGGCTTGCCCTGATGGTGGTGGTGGTGGTGTGTGCACACGCGCTGGGGTGAGGGTGGGGTGGACTGGCAGGGGGTGATGACAAGTCAGCCTTTTGGGGGTGCCTGAGCAGCATAGATGGAGAATGGTATAACAGTAAAGATATGTGGTCATGTTTTTCTCCATATTCTGTCTCTGCCACCTTTGCTGAAGCAGGAGAATCTTAGGTATCCCATCTTAGGGATAGGAAAATCTTAGGTATCCTGGCTTGCCCAGCCGCAGACACTATCCAACCCATTCAGGCTCCTAATCCCCTGCTCATCTTACATCAAGCGAAAGAGATTTAAGATAGAAGGAGGTTGACTCTGGACCTCAGGGATCTGAGAGGAGGGAGCTAAAGGAATCATCCGCACCCCCCGAGGGCTATAAAGAGCGTTCTGGAGGCAGGACAGAGCCTGGGAACCGCAGTAACAGCCTCTTCCTATGGGAGGGGAGTGGAGTGAGGTGGGAGAGACACTCTGGCCCGTCGCCTAAATGAGGGCTGTCTGTTCACTTAGCTCAGCCTGCACGACCATGTCTGTCCCCGCAAACAAGAAAGCTGCTTCAAACACATCTATGACCCTCGCACGGGATGAAATACAACCTCCCTAGTTTAACTTTCAAGGCTTTACTATCTAGCCCCAGTCAAATTTCCCAGGCTTACCTTTTACTACTTGCTACCTCACACCCCATCCTAGGAAACCCCAAATACTCCTCTGTGTTTGATGCTTCTATGTCTTCACACCTTTCTTTGGAATACCCTTCTCCCCTCTTTTCCTGGTGAACCCTGAGTCATTCTCCACAGCCCAACTCAATTGTCATCTTCTCTGTGAAGCCGGCTATGAATTTCACCAGCAGCAGTTCAGCTCCACAGCACTTTATATAGACCTTTATTACTGGAATTCCCTGCCTAGACTGTTAATGAGGACACAGACTATGTCTTATTCATCTTTGTGTTCCTGGAGTAGGAAACATGGTAGATACACAATAAATATTTGTTGAATGAATGAATGAATGAGCAGACACTCAGTAAATATCCACTCATTCATTGAACAACTTGTGTTATCCATAGTTGTATCTGCAATGCCACAAATAACGTCCTGAACTGGTAGCTTTCATTCAGTAAATGTTTGTCGACTAGCTGTAACCCGATATCATTACTGAATCAGTCACAAGTGTGACTATCTCCACCCCTCATCCCCTCTGAGGGGCCCAAATAAGTATATAAATGAGAAAGCTATCTGAATGCTCATGTATGTGACCCAGATTCATACCCAGGTCATCAAGAGATTCTGAACCCACTTGTAACATGCAATGAAGCCAGGGGTCACCTCCTGCCCTACACAGATCACGCCTGTAGAATTATGATCTCCTGGGATGGGGATGGAATTCAAAACACTGAACCATGGGTTTGGCATGGGTGTTGATCAAAGCCCCACACACAGGCTGCAAGGAGGCTGCAAAGAGGTGGGTATCACACTGCCTCTTGAGTTGCTTGGTTGGGTTATTGGGTTGTGGGGGTGGTCCTGAGAGAGAATCGGGGTGGCTGACATAGTGGTGGAATGGTGGGGACACTTGGAAGACTCCCAGAAGCTATTCTTCACCAACAGGGACAGAACATTTTCATTATTTTAATAGTGAACGCAACCCTCTAAGAGAATGCTGGCTGAATGCCAGCTCTGCCTTAGGGTGGCACCTGCCTTCCTCCCCAGTCTTTAACTGTTTCCAATTTAACTTGAACATCATAAGAAGAAAAAATAGAAAAAAAATGTAAGCTGCAGCTATAAGGAGTGAAGCTAGACATAGGAAGGACTTTCCTTAGAGCTGAAAACCACTAAAAGCTAGGAGGAAGCAAGGCTTTTCTCCTAGTCTCTGCAGAGAGATCTGTTTGGCCTGGGACTTGGGTTGTGAGTTTGAGGCAAATGGATGAATGACTGACTTCTGGGGTGTACTTACTGGTCTGCCCCAGAGCTGCCGTGGGTGCTGGGGGATGGACCTGATATCCTACACACGTGTCCTGGTCTGTCCAGTGTATGTGGCTGCCATGTGGCTGGGGTGCCTTGCCTGGAAGAAAGGACAGAGGGCATCTAGGGTCCCCTTTAAGGGAGGTGAATAATGTCCCTGCCGGGAGCCTCCCCCACCCCCAACTCCCCTCACACACTGACAACAAACCTGTCCAAGAAAGAGGCCTTTGTCCTAGGACATCTGAGGCTGCAGGGGGAGGGGAGAAGGCTACAGGTGAAAGGACACATCAAAGCAGCCGGCCCCTCCTCCCCCCAAAAGCTCCCCTACCCCTTGCCCAGAGCCCAGGCTTTCCTGAAATTAAAGCAGTGCCCTGAATGCCCACCTGCCTAACAGCTGGGATGCTAGACATCTGGTCCTTTTCTTCAGCTGCCCTCCACCTTGCCAGGACTCAGTTTCCCTGCCCCTCAGAGAGTCAAGGGGGCAAAGAGAAGGAGGTTACAACTTGTATAAAGTCTAGAGGTCACTCTGCCACGGATCATCAGGTTGGAATCCATCAGATGCATGGGAGAAGCGCAGAGCTGGCTGGACTCCTGGGCTCAAAAGGAGGGCTGGGAGAGGCTTGGAGCCATGCGTGCCCCCGCTGGCTGGGAGCAAGGTGGGGGTGGGGTGCGGGCAGAAACCACACCGGGCTCAAGTTTCCTCTCTTGGCCAGAAGGGGCAGGAGGAGAGGAGGGCCACGGGGAAAGGGGAGGGTTGGAGGAAGGACGGAGAACTCAGGCTGAGGGCTTCAGAGAGGAGGCTGGTGTGCCGGCCCCTGAGGTCCCCTCACTCGGGCCCGAGCCTACACACTGGGCACTCAGCGATGGCCTGGGCGCAGGGCACGGCCCTCCCCGGTTCTCAGAGGTAGCAGGGATCCTCACCCAGAAGGTGTCAGCCCAGGCCCAGCCTCCCCAGAGACAGCACCCGGAGCCACATCTCTCTCCTCACCCTGCTTGGACCCTGCCACAGGTGCCTGAGGGGCAGGGTGGGAGGAGGATTCCAGGGGGACCCAGGGGCAAGCTGGGGAGGTGAAGGAGGCAGCGGGAGAAAATAAGCAACTTGCCGTGCATTCCTCGGAGATCTCAGACCTTTCCAGGCTGCCTCTGGTTCAGGAATTTGACATCTTTGGGAATTTCTCTGGGAGAAGACCTAGATGGCTTTTTGAGCCCTCTGGGATTCTGGGGGTGAAAGGTTATGGATGGGGACCAGACAGTGGTCCCCTGAGGCACGCCTGAGGGGCTGGGGAGTGACACTGAGTAACCCTTCAGCAGGCTGGCTGCCCTGGGGCAGCCAATAGACTCTCAGGTATATGGTACCCTCCTTTCCCCTGCTCCGTCCTATCCCACTGGCCCGTCCAGCCATCTGGGAGGTTTGGGGAATGCTAAGGAATCCGAGACAGTGGATGCCTGGATTGCTGGGAGGTGTCGTTGCAGCAGGATGGGCTGCTAGGGGTAGAGGGTGCTGAGTTCCCGCCTCCCTTTGCCCGTTCTCTTCTCTGGGCCTAGGGCAGTAGCTGGAACTGGAAGGGAGAGGAAGGCATCCCACCCCAGCATAGTTTCTTCTGACTGGAAATCTTGGCAGCTTGGGAGGTAGAGGGCTGGGAAACAGTGGAAGAGAAGAGGTCAGGTATCACATCTGCTGGGGCTGAGATTCTCTAGTCACTGGCCCCCGAAGGACTGGAGTTGGGGGGTCTAGTGACCAAGTGACAGGATGGCAGAAACTTGTGCCTCTCTCCCTTGTTCCATGCACCTGTTTGAGTCATGTATGTCCCCAGGAGACTGAACCTTACTGTGATCAAAACTGGCCCTCCACCTACCCTGTTCGTTCACTCTCCCTCCGCACCTCTCTCCCCAGCCCCTTTTCCCTCCAGGCTATTTCTTTCTCTCACTTCTGTGTACCTCTCCCTCCTTGGGGATTCTTCCTAACCTTTCTGAATAGGCTGCTCATCTGCCTTACCACACCCCAAGTTTTACTGATCCCTCCCCATCCTTTCCCTGCCTCTATTGACACCTGGAGAGGAGGGGTTGTCTAGTAAGCCTCAGTACATGGTCCCAGACAAACAACAACAGCGTCCCAGAGGCGAGCCCTTTCTGTGTCTCTCCCCCTTGTCAAGGTGTTATAGAGCCCTGGGCTGCCGATGAGGCCAAATATCTTCCTTTCCCCAGCATCCCTCCCCAAATGGCCCTCATTCTGTATCCTGAAACGTAAAGCTCCCATGTCATTCTGTGTGTACTGTACTCAGGGATTGTGATAAGATCTTTCCGGGTAATCCCATCAGGATGAGAGTAAAGAGAGTGGGTTAGAGTCTCTGGAGATGGTGTCCGTCCTACCTGATGTGCAATGTTGGGGAGCAAGATGTCTGTGTGACCTCAAAGTGTGGGCTAAACTGGAAAGTGGGAACCGTCTGTTGTAAAAGAAAAGGGACACAGGGAGGCATGTTCCACTTTCCCAGTATCTCTCCAGCTTCTGTACCCTCTGTGATGTTCTATTTGATCCAATTCTGACTATACCCTCATACCTCTGGCTGCCAGCTCCCTGGCCCGTCTTCAGGATGGGAGACTCCTAAGACCTGTTGAAGGTAGACTTCCTGACCTTGCCTGTTGTATAGACCACCACCCATCTCTGAGTGTCTAGGGAAAAACAGACTACGCCTTTCTGGCCTGCTGCAAACTTGCCACTGCACCAGAGAGCTGGTTGCATTTGATCCTGAGGCGCTCCTTAACTGCCTCTTTCCTAACCTCCCACCTCCCCCAGCAGCCCTTCTGGATTCTCATTTCCCTGTCCCAGGGTGAGGGGAAGATTAAATTCCTGGTCTTTATGAGGAGGGGCTGATATCTAGTCTCAGAGACTAGGGCAGCCTAGAACCCAGCCTTGCCTGGGTCAAGGGTGTGAGGCTAGAAGTCTGGAGATTACTTGCCAGGTGCTCTTCTGTCTTTGCATTCTTTTAAGTCCATATGGTTGGACCAGTTTAGTAGTTTTCAAAGTAGGGTGGGCCTCTGGCATCAAAAACACCAGGCCACTTGTTAAAATGCTGATTGCTGGGTACCTGCGCCTATGAATTCAATTTGATAGGTCCAGGGTGGCTTTCAGAATTCTGTATTTTCACAAGCACCCCAGGTGAAGGCAGGCCACAGTAAAGTTTGTGACTGCCTGAGCCAGATGCAATCTACTGCAAGGAGGTTCTCCAAGTCTGTCCCCATTTAATAGGAGAGTCTGAGTAAGAAGCGATTTGCCCTAGATCATGCATCTGGAAGGCTAGAGAACCTGGTCTCCTGCCTCCTAGGACAGGATCTTTGTACTGCACCTAAGAGTCAGATCCGGGAAACTATGAGGGACAAAATGGGATGTGTGTGTGTGTGTGTGTGTGTGTGTGTGTGTGTGTGTGTGTGTGT